TTTCAAAATGGAATTCGAGTTGATATAAGTGTCCTATGCTAATGAAGTGATCGTTTATTCGTAATTGAAAAGATAAATGGAAAGCGTATACTTTTACACATGAGGTAGATGCATACATATTTAGGGATATTTAGTGGTTATACTATTCTATTCCTATTTTTGTCTAATCTCTCTCTCTCTCTAATTCTCTCTCTTTCTCTCTTTCGCTTTCGCTTTCTTCTCTCTCTGCCTCTCTCTCTCTCTCTCCTTCTCTCTCTCTCTCTCTCTCTCTCTCTCTCTCTCTCTATTTCGTCTTCTCTCTCTCTCTTTCTCTCTTCCCTTTCGCATTCTCTTCCTCTCTTCTCTCTCTCTCTTCTCTCTCTCTCTCTCTCTCTCTCTCTCTCTCTCTCTCTCTCTCTCTCTCTCTCTCTCTCTCTCTCTCTCTCTCTCTCTCTCTCTCTCTCTCTCTCTCTCTCTCTCTCTCTCTCTCTCTCTCTCTCTCTCTGTCTCTCTCTCTCTCTCTTTCTCTCTCTCTCTCTCTTCCCTCTCCCTCCTCTTCCCTCCTCTTCCCTCCCCCCTCCCTTCTCTCTCTCTCCCTTCCTTCCCTCCCCCCTCTCTCTCCCTCTCTCTCTCCCCCCTCTTCCCTCCTCTCTCTCCTAACACACACGCCACGCACACAACCCCCCCCCCCCCCGCAATCTACACAGACGAACACGCAGAGAAAATTAATAACCAGAATCATTATTACATTAGAGAAAAAAGACGAAGGAAAATATAAAAAAAAGGTCATCCGATTCAGCATAAACACATCAGAGGGAAAATAAACATAAACACAGACACCAACTATGGGAGTCGAACCCGTGGGAGGGAAGGAGGAAAGGGTAAGACGAAGGGAAGTTGGAGGACAGGTTTAAGGAGAGTCTGGGTGCGATATGACGATGATGCCGATGATGATGATGATGGTGAATGATGATGATGGTGATGATGATGATGGTGATGGATGATGGTGATGGTGATGGTGATGGTGATGATGATGATGATGATGATGATGATGATGGTGATGATGATGATGATGATAATAATGATAATAATAATAATTATAATAATAATAGTAATAATGATAATGATAATGATAATGATAATAATAATAATAATAATAATAATAATAATAATAATAATAATAATAATAATAATAATAAAAGTAATAATAATAATGATAATAATTTATAATGATAGTAATAATAATAATAATAATAATAGCGATAGAAATAATGCTAATGCTAATAATAAGAATGATGATAATAATGATAATAACGATAATAATAATGATCATATAATGGCAATGATAATAACAATAATAACAACAGGTCTCCATATTTCCTTTGTCTTTATCTTCCCTTGTCCTTATACGTTCCTCGTTCCTTGAATTCCACGGTCTCTGTATTCTCCGTTCCTACGTTCTCCGTTCTTACGTTCCCCCATAAACACCTCTCTTAACTCATGGTCCCTTACGTTCCACAGCGTTCCACCATCCCAATGTCCCACTGTCCTACGGCTTCCCTGTTCCTCTACGTTCCACGATCCCTGCGTTCCTTAGCCCAGCCTAGCCTACGGAGAGTGTAGATCGTAGAGACTGGATCCTCACGTTCCTTAGCCCAGCCTAGCCTACCGTAGGGACTGGATCCTCACGTTCCTTAGCCAGCCTGTTCTAGAGACTGGATCCTCACGTTCCTTAGCCCAGCCCAGCCTAGAGAAGGATCCTCACGTTCCTTAGCCCATCGAGACTGGACCTTAGAGCCTGTGGAACAGACGTTTCTCTGGTTCCTTACCCAGCCTGTGGAACATAGAAGACTGGATCCTCATACCAGCCCTAGAGACTGGATCTCACGTTCCTTAGCCCAGCCTGTGCCATAGAAAACTGATCCTCACGTTCCTTAGCCCAGCCGTGGAAATAGACTGGATCTCCACGTTCTTTAGCCCGCCTTCCTTAGAAACTGGATCTCACGTTCCTTAGCCCAGCCTGTGGAACATAGAGATCCTACGTTCCTTAGCCCCAGCCTGGTGAACCTGGATCCTCACGTTCCTTAGCCCAGCCTTGGTAGGGACGTTCCTTAGCTCAGCCTAGCCTACCAAGACTGGATCCTCACGTTCCTTAGCCCAGCCTGTGGAACATAAGAAGCTGATCCTCACGTTCCTTAGCCCAGCCTGTGATCATAGAAACTGGATCCTCACGTTCCTAAGCCCGCCTGTCGATCATACGGATCTCCACGTAGCCTGGAACGGATCCTCACGTTCCTTAGCCCAGCCTGTGGAACATAGAAACTGGATCTCCACGTTCCTTAGCCAGCCTGTGGAACATAGAGACTGGATCCTCACGTTCCTTAGCCCAGCCTGTGGAACATAGAAACTGGATCCTCACGTTCCCTAGCCCAGCCTGTGGATCATAGAGACTGGGGAACGCCGACAAAATCCCCGACAGGAAAACCTACTGATTTGTGGATGAAATTCGAGTGTGTTTTTT